CGCAGTGTGACCTCAAGGAGGCTTTGTTGCGGGAAGCTAGATATTGGCACCAGAAAGCTTGTGTTCGGTGGCTCAAAGAAGGGGATGCTAACACTAGGTTTTTTCATGCACAGGTTAAGCAACGACGCGTGCGTAGTTATATACACTGTATAAAGGATATGAATGGCAGGTGGGTGGAAGAGTAGTCCCAAATAGAATTCATGGCGATTGAGTTCTTCTCTGAAGTGTTGGTGCAACCAACACATGTTCCAGTGGATCACTCCCTCCTAGACATTATCCCATCTGTGGTATCGAAGCATGACAATAAGGCTCTTCAACAGTTGCCTACTGAAGACGAGATTCAAAGAGTGATATTCCAGATGAATGGGGACAGTTGTTCGGGGCCTGATGGGTTTACTGGATCTTTCTTTACTATGTGTTGGGACGTTGTGAAGAGGGATGTGTGTAGAGCGGTCAGGGATTTTTTTGTGGGGGCGGAGTTACCTTGGGGGTTCACAGCTACGTGTTGGCTTTGATTCCGAGAGTACCAAGTGCGTCTTCTTTTTCGGAGTTTAGGCCTATTAGTTTGTGTAATTTTGTGAATAAAATTTTCTCTTTCTGCCTAAGATAATCTCGCCCCAACAGAGTGGGTTTGTCAAGGGCAGGCAGATATATGATAATATCCTGCTGGCTCTAGAAATGTGTTCGGGGTTGGGAAGGAAGGTTAGGGGTGCTAATGTCACTTTGAAATTGGATATGGCCAAAGCTTATGACCGGGTCTCCTGGTGTTTCGTAATACATGTTATGCGCAGATTTGGGTTTAGGGAACAATGGATAGACATGATCTGGCGGTTGATCTCTTCTTGCCATTTCTCCGTGTTGGTGAATAGGAAACCCTGTCGTTTTTTTCGCTCATCTCGGGGATTACGGCAAGGGGACCCCCAATCTCCGGCCTTGTTCATCATTGCGGTTGAGGTACTCTCGAGGGGTTTGAATGCCCTGGTGGGGAATCGGCAGTTTTCGTCGTATCTGGTTGCTCGAGGTTGCCCCCCGTTGACATACCTAGTTTATTCTGATAAGATCATTATATTTTGCAATGGGACCACACGCTCACTGACATGTGTGATGGACGTACTAGATAAATACCAGAGGACCTCTGGGCAACTGGTGAACGCGCCTAAGAGTTGCTTCCGGGTGGGCAACAAAGTGTCTCTTGCACGTCGCAGGGTGATCTCGTGAGTTACGGGTTTCTCTGCCATGGATCTGCTAGTCACCTACTTGGGTTGCCCACTGTATGTTGGGAGACTGGTGAAAGGGTTGTTCACTGGCTTACTGGATAAAGTCTCACAGCGGTTAACAGCTTGGCGAGGTCGGTGGTTATCCATGAGTGCTCGGGCTCTACTCATTAAGCATGTTTTGACCTCTATCTCAATTCATCTCTTGGCAGTGCTGGTGCCTCTGAGGGGGGTAGTTGCTGAGTTGGAGAGGATGTTTGCCAGGTTTTTTGGGGGGAGTCAGAATTCGGGCTTAAAAGGCATTGGACGGCATGGTCGCAGTTGTGCCGCCCTGTGGAGGAAGGAGAGGTAGGCTTTCGGTCTTTAGAAACGATTATTGATGTTTTTTCTTGTAAGTTTTGGTGGTTATTTAGGGGTGGCCAGTAACTATGGGCTCAATTTATATGGGGCAAGTATGTTGGAGGTTTACATCCTAATCAGGTGGCTATTTCGCCTAAGTTCTCTGCTAGTTGTGCTCAGATGTTTGGGGTTCGGTGTTCCATCGAGATATGGTTGCAGTGGGATTTGTCTGGAGGGGAGTCTTCTTTCTGGTGGGACAATTGGAGTGGACTTGGTCCGCTGGCATGGAGGTTCCCAGAGTTAGCGTCTGATGCAAAGATTAATTGATTTTGGAGGGAGAATTAATGGGATCTTTTGGCCCTGGCGTCCCTTCCTTCGAAGATTGCAGCGGCGGCGGCTGAAACCTTCTTTTGTTTTGGTACAGGTCCGGACAGGCCTATTTGGAAGTTAGAACCCTCGGGAGTTTCTCTATAAAGTCGGCCTATCAGTTAGTTCGGGCAGCTAGAGCCCGGGTTTGGTCCTTTGCGTGTATCTGACACTCTGCAATTCCTCCAAAGTTGTCTTTCTTCATGTGGCGATTGCTACAGGGACGGCTGCCCGTGGATGCAGTGTTGGCAAAGTTTCAGGTTCATGGCCCTTCTAAGTGCCATTACTGCTCGCGGCCTCAGTCAGAAATGTTGTAACATGATTTCGCTACTAGTGACTTGGCAAACAAACTTTGGGGTTTTTTTGAACAATAGCTCAGCATCTCTTCATCCTCAGTATGTAATGTTAGGTTCCAGTGTTTTAGATGGTGGTCACCTCGGTCAGAGGAAGGGCATTGCGTTGGCTATACCAAACGCTGCCCTTACTTATTCTATAGTTTCTATGGCGGGCAAGGAACACGGCCCGTTTTGACGGTCGGAGTATCTCGGTTGGACAAGTTCGGGGATGGGTCATTCAGGAGGTGCGGTTGCTAGTCCAAGTGCATTTCCTGGCCATGTCGCAATGGTCGCTTTCGTGGACGGAGCTCCTTGACTCTATGTCTGCGGTGCGGAGGCCACTAACCTCGATCTTGGTGCGTTGGGTGTGTCCGGAGGATGGGTTTTGTAAGTTAAATACGGATGGTTGTGCCACATCTCGTGGGGGGAGCGGTGGCGGGGTGATTAGGGACTCATGCGATAAGTTTATCCTGGCGTTTGCTGATTTTTTGGTCCTGTGAATGCCTTGCAAGCAGAGGCGTGTGCTCTTTTACTGGGTCTTCAGCTAGGGCGGCAAATGGGGATCTCCCAGTTAGTTGTTGAGTCTGACTGCCTGGTCTTGGTCAATTGTTTAAGGGGGTCCTGGGGTGTCCCTATTGTCATTCGACCTATCGTTCGGGCTATTCGGGGGATTGCCCTTGAGGGTCATCGGTTGTCTCACTATTATAGGGAGGGGAATTCTGTGGCGGATTCACTGGCATCTTATGCCAAGGCGCGGGGCTTCTTTGAAGTTTTCTCTACGGTAGCTCAACTACCGGGCCGTACTAGAGGGTTATTGGCTCTAGATATGCAAAATTTTTGTAACTTTCATTTTTTGTTCCAGAGGTAAGGGGGCAGCCTTCCTCCGATTTTTGTACTTAGTTTCTATCTCAGTCTTAATAAAGTATCCTTTTAATTTAAAAAAAATTAGATGTGTATAAATGGGTAAGTTAAAAAAAGAGTTAGGTAACCCAATTACCCATTTATTCTAACCTTTTACAAACTCATCTAAATTTATTTTGTTAGCCAAATTTTCAATTTATACCACCCTTTGCAGTTTGCACCCAGCATTAATTTTAAATATTTACTTATAATGCTGAATAGGTCTAATTACAAATTTTTTTCGTCCGTCGGCTATGTTGCAAAATTACATACTATTTAATAATTGAACAATAAGAACATAAAAATTTGGACTAAATAATATGAAAGTTAACATAAAAATTTAATCCAAAAACTGTGAACCCCTAGCATTTTTTTCTGTGCATAAATTTAAATTTTCATTTTGGAAAGATAGGAAAGAATGCTAAAACTTGTCATAAATTGGTAATATTGAAAAATGAGTAAATTAACAAACTACGAGAAAATAAAATTATAAGATAAAATCAACAAATAATAATAATAAATAAAACAAAAGTAGTTAACATTGTGACAAAATGAAGAATCTGAGAAAAAAATTAAGCAGGATATCATGACAAAATGACTATAGTCCATGCTCTTTTCCCATGCTCTTTTCACGGGAAGCTTCACGCTTCAAAATCACAACTAAGCTGTCATCTGTCTAATGCATGCGCAGATTAAAATGGAAAACTATAGGCCAAAAGACTCTCCTTTTGTCAGATGGTTAATCCAACTGTTTCTTAAGGAGTAAACTTTGATCACCAATTGCTAATATCAATTTTGTCAAGAACTGTTTACGTAATGAACTCATGTTTGCTGGTTTAACTACACATCATTGTATCTGTTTGTTTGCCCTTGAAAACGAGAAAAACATCCTATGCCTCTAACCACATGTTTCCTGAGATTTACCTACGTCTTTCTCTCTCTTTTTTTTTTTTAAAAAAAAAGTCTTTTTTGGGTATGTATTTTCTAGATAAAAATAATTTGAGATACTTTCATCCCATCCAGCCAGAAAATAAATAAATAGAAAAAGTGCTTAACTATCACTCTGCACAACAACGATTTTCACATATTTCTGCTTAGAGAATCTACATGTGAATCACGACTATTTATGTAAATTTGAGGCTTTAAGGATTAATTATTACACTTGATGAAAAATTTATATTCATGTTAAATTGTGTATTGGAAGTTGACAAGGTAGAAAAAATGGTTCAACTTTTAATATAGCCAAAGGTTTGGCTAAATTCAAATTAAACATATCTGAGCCATTAATTGCACTATGTAATTTTATCTTGCCCATGTTCATTGATGCAGAAATCAGATGAAACTTGCTCCGATATCAATTATAATACCCATGACAATGGGCTGTTCCACAATTTTATTATTTTTTTTATGTATGGGATTTGCTCTGAAACCAACTTTGTACCCAAGATAATTGGCTGATCCACCTTTTTTTTTTTGGTTTTGTAGCATAAATCATAGACCCAAAACATTTCAACTTTGAACCAAGTTTCTTTTTTTTTTCAAGTGTAAATGGGAGATTTCGAGCTTAGGACCTTTCATTTCTTATTTCATATCATCCAATCCATCCATTCCCCTAACCAAATCAATAAACCTTAGTGGCTACACAAATTAGAGGGATCAAACAATTACAGATTTGATTTCTAACTTAGCAGTAGATTATAAAGAATAATAAACTAGTAGACCTGCTAGTGATTAAATATAGGTTTTTTTTTTTATACGAATAGTATCCTTTTATTACCAACAATTGAACACATATGAAGGAGGGAACAAACCCCCAAAGACCTGAAGATTACAACCAGAACACACCCTAAGCCTCATCAATTACCCAATGAACCCCCGGCACTCCACGCGCGTCAAGAATAATCGAAGCCCGAACCAATGCCGGTAGTTGCTGAAACTGATCATACACCGGGGTGCCTCCAGCCCCTATAGATGCTAGCCTATCCGCAGAAGAATTGGCCTCGCGGAAAATATGTGAGAATGAAGCCAAAAAACCTTGCAATAAATCTCTAACTTTCCTCAATGTATTACATAATGGCCACTTAGCTATTACCCCCGAGCCAACCAGCTGCACCAACGTTTTGGAATCCACCTCGACTAATGACGGACAAAGCCCCCGTTGAAGACACAACTGCAAACCACACAGCAGAGCCATACTTTCTGCCTCCAACACAGCCTGATCTCCAAATTCTTTGTAAAAAGCAAAAATCAATTTTCCCTGACTGTCGCACAACAGACCACCACCCGAGGCCCTACCACAATTCACGCTGGCGTCCGAGTTGAGCTTAAGCAGCCCCAGCGGAGGTTTCTCCCAGGCAACCGCACAAGGGATTCCCCTCCGCGGAGAGACCTTAATGGATCTTAGCAACTCGTAATCCGCATCCCCTGTAAAGTGCGCCCGACGAAACTTACCTGCCCTTCCAAGCTGTTCTAAAAAATAGTCCACCTCGCAGAGTATCTTGCCAACCTCCCATCGCAGGCCCTGATAGCGCTCCTGGTTCCTGGCTAGCCAAAGGAACCAGCACACTACAATTGGCATGACTACCCGAATATGATCCTTCGCAGAGGAAACTGAAGTAAAGTGCCAAGAGACAAATACCGACGCCATACTCGAGCAATTACGCAAATGAAAACCAAATCGGCCAGACACTCTCCGCCACACTTCCGATGCAACCGGGCCAGTCAAGAAAACATGCAAAAGAGCCTCCTCCGCCTGGTAGCAACACCCGCACCGAGAGGGCAAAGCCAAACCCCGACAACGCAACGTCATATCCAGAGGTAGGAAATTACGCACCAATCTCCAAGCCAAAAAAGACATTTTTGCCGGCAAAACCGAAGGCCAAAGTAGGGAGTCAACAAGAGACCGATGCTTCCTTTGCCGAAGCACCTCCCATGCCGACTTAACCGTGAAGCATCCCGTTGGAGAAGGCAACCATACCATCATATCCTTCCGAGCTAAATCATGGGGTACTTCTTTGATCGCCTGGATGACAAACCCTGGAACCCACCGGCCAAGACGCGTTTCATCCCATCCATCGCTGGCAATAAACTCCGCGACAAGGAAATGGGGCTTCTCAGAGCGATCCACCACACTCTCTAACGGCTCCTGGAAAACCCATCTATCCTTCCAAAAATCCACAAGGCTTTCCCCTAAGCACCACCTAATGTTCTGTTCAGCCATTTGACGTATGGCTATAAGACGCCTCCAAGTACCTGAAGCCCGCTCTACCAATGCCTCCGACGGATGAACCCCTTTGATGTATTTGGCATGCATGAACTTTGCCCAAATGGACTCTCCAAGCCTAAACCGCCACCATAGTTTGACCGCAAATGCCCTTGCCATGTCCGTAAAGGACCGAAAACCCAGGCCCCCTTCATCAATGGGAAAACACATCTTGTCCCAGGAGGACCAATGAATACGCCTCTCCCCCTTATCATCCCAGAGAAAGGCATTACAAATTTTACCTAACCGTGTGGTCACCGCCTTTGGAGGATTCAACACCTGAAGTAAGTACATCGGAAATGAAGCAAGTACATGCCGTGCTAAGACCAGCTTGCCCCCAAAGGACAGCAACTTAGTACTCCAGTGTCCAAGACGGGCCCGCATTTTCGAAATAATATCATCAAACAAGAAACCCCGCCTCCGACCTTTATATATAGGAGCGCCCAAATAAATGAATGGGAAAGATTGCCTGCGAAATCCTAGAACCCGGGTCACCAACTGCTCCTGTCCCGACGTAGCCCCTGAAGGCAGAAAAAAGGAGCTCTTGTTAACATTCACCTTTTGACCTGAAGCCTCCTCATACTCCATCAAAAAACCCTTTATCGCGGACAGGCAATCCTTTGAGCATCTTGTAAACAAGAGCATGTCATCTGCGAAGGCCAAGTACGGCACCGGACTCCCTGCCGTAACAAAATACCGACCGGGCTGCCGCTCCAGCAGATGATGTAGCCCGCGGCCTAAAAAATCGGCCACTAACACAAACAGGCCAGGAGAAACCGGGTCACCCTGCCTAACACCCCTTGAAGATTTAAAGAAACCAGCAGCCTCACCATTCACCAAAACTGAAAACCAATTATTAGACACGAGCCGAAAGAAAATGTCAACCACCTGCTCCGCAAAACCAAATCTCCGAAGCATAAACAAAATAAATGGCCACTCGACCCTATCATACGCCTTTTCCATATCCAACTTTAACATGAGGTTCGGATGTCTCAACCGCCTATCTAAATCCGCCACCAGCTCTTGCGTCAGAAGGATGTTATCCGTTATCCCCCGTCCTGGTACAAAACCAGTCTGCCACTGTGATACTAAGGCCGGGAGAACCCTACCCAACCGATCCGAAACGAGCTTAGAAATAATTTTCGAACAGACATTGCAAAGACTAATTGGCCGAAAATCCTTCCACTGCATGGCGCCTGCAATCTTAGGCAGTAAAATAATAGACGTGCTAGTAAAGCTCCGAGGCAACCGCATACCCTGGAAGAAAGCTTGAACCGCCTCCAATAAGTCTGACTGGATAATATCCCAACAGGCCTGGTAAAAACCTGCCCCAAACCCATCCGGCCCTGGGGCACTATCTGCGTCCAACGCGAACACCACTCCCTTTAATTCTGCCATGTCAGGTAAAGCAGATAACATGTCATTGTCTGCCTGAGCAAGCTGAGGGACAGAGAAGGGCAGCTCCGGAGATTGCCACCCGTGTTGTTCAGAAGCGAACAACGCCGAAACGAAATCCACCGCTGATTGCCTTATGTCTTGTAAATCCTCCAACCAAGTACCTGCCTGATCCTTAATGCGGGCGACAAAATTAAAATTGCGACGTTGCCGGCAGCAAGAATGGAAATAAGCTGTATTAGCATCCCCAACCTGCAACCATTTGATGCCCGCCTTCTGCCTCCAAAACTCACCCTCCAACGCCAAACTCCTGGCAAATACCGCATTTGCCTCCTCCAACGCTGCTCTGGACACAGAATCCCTCGCAGCGTCGAACTGCTCCTCACGTTGTTTCATAACAGCCGCGGCCGCCCGTACGTTGGTAAAAATATTGCCAAATGTCTGGACGTTCCAAACCTGCAGGCAACCCTTCACAGCCCTCAGCTTATTATAAAATTTCGGCATACCCTCACCCTCCACCGGCATTGCCCAACCCTGCCGAACCACATCCATAAAATCCGAATGCCTCCTCCAAACATTCAGAAATCTAAACGAGCGTTTGCTGTGGCTCCCATTTTGACAATTAATCAAGAGGGGAGCATGATCTGACCGTCCCCTGGACAAATGGGAGACATGCGAAAGCTCATACCCATCAGCCCACTCCTGATTCATGAAGGCCCTATCCAATCTTTGCCATACCCTACCATTGGTCCAAGTAAATAAAGCCCCATCAAAAGGCACCTCGGACAAGCCGACTAAAATGATAAATTTCTATCGTTTAACCGTAATTTCTACCGTTAACCGTGAACTACTACCGTTTACGATTTACTTGATTACTTGCGCAGTTGTAAGTTCTAAGCTGAATTGGCCCTGCCCTTGTTATTAACCTGCTCGATCCAGGACTGGGTTAGGTCGGGTAGGTTGGAACCCTGGGCCACCGTTTCGGTATATTCAAGTATTACCACTGGAGGGATAAGGTGATGGCCAGACAACCGGGGAAATTACTGGAGTTATAAGGTGAAGTGACGAAAACTGTTCCACGTGAACACCGTATCTTTTTAATGTGTGTTTATTTCTGTAAAATGATAAATGTCTCATTTTAATGTGCTAATGTGAAATCTTGAACTGTACATGTGTTATGCTCAATTTACTTGATTTATTAGAACTGTTTAGGTTTTGGACCTCATTAGGCTGTTTAGCTCATTCCACGCTTTTGTTTTCCTTAACAGGGTTCAAGACCGAGAGTGCTCACGAATAGTACTAGATTTTTTCTTTTGGAGACTTTAAGTTGTATTGTAGCATATGACTGTAGTAATTATTCTTTTGGGTTGTATCTAAGCTTGAAGGTTATAATTTTAAGTATGAAATGTTTTGGAGTACTTTACTTGTATATTGAAAATATTTGAAGTATTTCTAGCTTTCGATTTACGGATTGTAGCGAGTCCCGACGAGAGATGGGCAGACGTTCCACCAATACCCTTGGGTTCGCCCTTGAGAGAAGTGGGAGCGTCACACTTTTCCCAAAAGTTGGATTGCAACGGCTCTCTTTTGATTGGCCAATGTTTAACCATTTGATAAGATTTTCCAAATTCAACCATATTTCCTTGATAATTGCTTCAAAGATATCTCCAAAGATATCTCTAATAACTTCCACCACAATATTTTGATTTTCATCACATCTTTTCAATTCAAACCTCCAACTTGTTTTCCTGAAAACCATAGAAATACACTCATAATTTGACGAATCCATAAAAAAGTTAAGAAATCATAACATAAATATATGCAAATAATGGATTTAATCAATAATCAAACTTTATCATAATTATTAAACCCGGCCCGGGAGGAACCCGGTGAAAGTGGTGGTCAACGGGTTACCGGTCCAACCAGTGGGTCACTAAATATATTTAAATATTATGTCTCATAATTTTTTATGGCATAATAATATTCAATTAGTCTAATTTTTATAAAATCATTAATTCTTATAAGAATTCAACCTAAATTTAATTAGTAATCTACCAAATTTCAAGTATAAAATTTTATCTAAGTGTAATTAAGAACCCGGCCCGGTTTCATGGCCGGTTCACTGGGTTGATCGGTTGAATTGCTGGGCGGGCCAGGTTTAATAACTATGAACTTTATAGTAATTATTTTTTATCTTTAGATAATTTTGACAGTTATAAATGCTCTTTTGAATTATTTTTAGTTTCAGTTGCAATCTTATTTTCTATATTTTATCAAATAGGTCTTATCACTTTAATTATAAGCCAAGAACGCTTTGGTTAAGAGGTTAAGGTTGAGAATGAAAATTCAAAATTAAAGATCCTAGGTTCAAATCTGCCTACCCTATCCCCAAATATTAAATCCCACCCCTAACACGTTAAAATAAATAAAAAATAATTTATTATAAACAACAATTTTGATTTTAAGTTTAAAAATATCTTAAGATACATTTTTATAGGTATTAATTAATATATACGATGACATCGTCGATTCTTCAATTTCAACTCAACCACCAAGCCTATTGAGTCTCAATTCTTGAGTTCCATCGTGTCATTGACTAATCTAAGTTAAAACACTGATTATTAGTAATTCATTGCCCAAGATATAATCTATTAATCAATATTTGCATGCTTTTCAATCATGAGAAAGGGAGATTTACAACAAAAGGAACGTGTAATTCGGAAGAGAAAAAATATTGAAAAAAAAATGTAGAACTATCAGCTCTGAACAATGGTATTTAGTATTGATTGCAAAATACTTCTTAAAACTTTGGGATAATTTCACAAACCTCCCCTGAGGTTTCTGACACTTGCACTGAGACCCTCTAGGTTTTAAAAATTTCACCTAGCTCCCCTGACAGAGTATTGGGATCCATTGTTGACTTGAAGAGTGCTGAAATTACCAATTTGTCCTTAGAGGTTGGTTTAGATGACTAACATTAACTTGGATGACAAATGCATCTTCACATTGGTAATTACATCTTCAAATGTCCAGCCATCTTTAGTCTGGCGTTCGATCAAAGTTGTTGTGCCGTCCTTTATTTTATGATTTTTATCCAATCCAAATCTCTCACCCAGCAGCACAAAGCAAAATTTGATAGTTGAGCTCGTGCAAAGCTTTGATGATTGACTTTGATTTTTCTTTTTCGCTAATTTATTCACATCATTGAAGTAGGGGATTTTTATTAACTCTACCAAGCTAGCACTACATTCTTGACCCAATATATAAGGTCAGAAGCAAAGCTGAATTTGATAGATAAATACTGCTTTGGGAGAATTACAATTTTGGCTCCAAATATTTGGAACGTGAACGCTTTTAGTTACTAAAATTTGGATGAAAATAAATATAGTTCCAAATATTTTAGTTTTATGCATATTTAGTTCTAATAACTGATTTTTATCGAATGCTACTGTCAAAATCGTGTCATGTGCCAGCAACTAGTTATTTTTAAAAATTAAAAAAAAATACTTCTAGCCAGTAACTATAATAAATTATGATAATTACTCATATGATGGTCACGTGAATAATTTTTAAGTTTTTACTACAAATTCTGGCTAAGATTTTTTTTCAAGTGTTTTTTAATTCCTTTTAAAATAAAAATTATTTATCGATACTTTATAGCACGTCACCGTCACCGAATCCTTGTAGCAATCCGTAAGAGTCATTGCACAAATTCACAATAAATAAATAAAATCATGCTAAGTCACAGGCAAAATACCGGTTCATCTCTAAACAGCTTCAAAATGGTGCCTCCAATGATGTTTTGGGTGCTTGTGTCCTACTCTTTTATGGTACGCTGGACACCAAAATGGGATGGAAAGCCCCGTTGCATCCCCGGAGAAGAAGGTATTGGTTGCTTAAGGATGCCATGTTACTTCAATGCCTAACCAGTGCCACAACAACTTTTGATTACTAACCAGAAATTTCTGAAAATTCTGTCAGTTAAGACTGCTGCAATGGACTTCTCAGCTAAAAGTGCTTAAATTCCACGGTTTGCATTGGTTCAAGCAGTCGATGGTGGATCAAGGGGCCATGCATAAGATCTGCTAAATGTTTTCACCATAGCCTTCTATTAATGCTCCTGCAAAACAATGAGGATTAATCTACCCAAACTCTTCCTCCTCACAATCTTTTGGCTTGAGGATATACTTTGCACTTCTGATGTTTATATACAGTTGGAGGTAAACAAAATCTGGCCGTTGGAAGATTGCAAGTTGCCGTTGGCTATTCCTGTTAACATACTGAAGATGTCTCCATGTACTGCATCAAAATTCCTGAATTGCATTTATATCCCCTCAACTTTGATAATCATCTCAACCTTTTTAATAACTTGCAATCTTGTACTAATATAGAGAGGAAGAGGGTATTCATGGAATAAAAATGTCATCTCTATCATGATAATAATATTTTAATCCTAATTGGACTGAATTGTTACCAAAATTTGAAAAGCAAGGGAGCTAGGTGAAATTTTTAAAGCCTAGAGGGGCCTCAGTGCAAGTGTCAGAAATCTCAGGGGAGGTTTGTGAAATTATCCCTAAAACTTTTTTGGGGTTGGCAAAGTGCCCTTGATTTATCAATGTCAGCACTATATGCCATAGATTCTACTATTAGCGCTGAAAAACTATAAGTTTTTCATGATGTATGTGTGAACTCGCTGATAGGGGATTTTGACACCCTTGATAGAGTGTGTACGACAAAAAAGAAAAAACATACTCAATATGTATACACATATCAATTGAAAAGAAGGGATTGTTTGGTGAGCAAGGTTTTTGACAAATTTTCTTCTACAAATTTTTAACAATTTTAACTATAGTAAAATCAAAAAATTTTCAAATTTTTAAAATACACACCTTAAAATTCCGAAAAACACACAAAAAATTTTCCTTCTTTTTTCTTCTTCTTCCTCATCCTGCCACAATGCATCACCTCCGCCACCGGCCAGCGCTGGTCAGCGAGTCCTTTTTTTCTTTTTTTCTCTGTCTTCCTTCTCCTCTCTCCCTTCTCACCTCCTCTCTATCTCCCTCTCCTCTCCCCTTCTCTCCTACTCTTCCCCTTTCCCTTCCCCTTCCCCTTCTCCCTTGCGACTAGATGCGTGATCAGATTAGGGGAGAGGGAAGGGGAGCCAGAGGAAGGGTGAGAGGGAGGAGGAGGAGGAGGAGAAGGAGAGGATGGAGGGAAAGGGGGGAAGAGAGAGGAAGAAGGAGGAGAGAGAGGTGAGGATTAACTCTAGTTTAAATAACATTCCATCTAAATTGGTAGAATCAATAACTTTATTATTTTTCAAACGATTCGTAATTGAAAGATGAGAATTGAAATCATATCCAATAATAAATAATCTAGAAAAGAAATAAAATTTCCAGAAAAGTATGGAACATAAAAGGTATTTTCAATATCTAATTGAAAATCAATCTTTAAAATAAGTCTATAGATCCCCACGCCTTCAACAATTGAACGCATCCAATTTTCAGAATAGATGCTTTGTTCATTTTCAAATGGCTTTCTTAGGTTTAGAAAGCCCTGCTTGGTTTTGAACATGTGAATTGTAGCAATCAATCCACCAAATATTATAAAAAATTTAGCGATGTCAGATTCATAACACACAAAGGTGAGATTAGCTTTATTTTCAAGTCACTTCTTGTATTTGAGGCAATTTTTCTTCCAGTGCCCTTTCT